CCCACCCCACCCCAATATACTCGGTATGCTAGAAACCACTTAGGACATACTCCCTCCGTTACAAATTAGATGAGGTATTTTTCTTTTTAGTCTGTTCCAAAATAAATGATACATTTCTAAATTTGGAAATAATTCAATTTTAAAGTATTTATTTTACCAATTTTCCTCTTAATGAAAAGCTTTTATAACCATACAAATGTCATGACCCCACAAAGCTTTTACTCCTTAAGTTTTTCAGATTACAAGTTTCAAAAGTTTTTTTTTTCTTCTTAAATTCCGTGCCGAGTCAAACTAACTCATCTAAATTGTAACTGAGGGAGTAGTAATTAGGGTTGTAAATTGTGTGTTACCAAGGGAAATCGTGAATGGAAATGGTTTAATTTGTGTTTCTATTTGTTGAATGTTCATACATTTGATGCGAGGAAAGAGAACTGAAGGGTAAGAGGAGCATATAGCTAACATAAAAACGCCCTGTAAGATAGAACTACTTAGGAACTGCAAAATGGTGACCTGGACCTCTTATGTGCTTGAATCATTCTGCCTAATTCTAATGTAGATCCTACTAGCTAGTTTGGGTCTATAATCTTTTCGAAAAGATAGTGGGCACTTGTTCTAATGTCTATACTCCTAATTAAGGGACATATATTCTCACTGTATCACAATTTGTGAAGCCGACACTATTTTGTCTATTGGAAACAGTCTCTCTGTCCTTCCAGATTAGGGGTAAGGATGTGTACATCTTACCCTCCCTAGACCTCACTTGTGGGATTACATTAGATTGTTGTTGTTGTTGATGCCCTCATAATCACACTCGTAAAAAACTCAGAGATGTTAAGATTGTTATTATATTTAATGGGTGGTGATTTCCTTGTTGTTTAACTCTGCTTTGACAGTTATGCTCAGTCACATCAGTTCAACCTATATTTTAAAGTTTATATTCTTTCATACACGTTGAATGAGAGCGTTGGCGTAATTGGTAAAGTTGTTGTCATGTGACCAAGAGGTCACGGGTTCAAGCCGTGGAAACAGCATATTGCAGAAATGCAGGGTAAGACTGCTTACAATAGACCCTTATGGTCCGGCACTTCCCCAGACCCCGCGCATAGCGGGAGCTTAGTGCACCGGGCTGCCCTTTTATTCTTTCCTAAACCAAAATTATGCACACACACCAGATGCCCCTTTAACTAGTTTCTCTAAGATTTGGATTCAAATATGCTCAATGATGCCTAATAGATGTTCCTGTTAGGTGAGAACAGATGGTACTAAGAAGAAAGTTTCAAGGAATATATAATTAATTCCAGTACTTCCCAGAAATCTAGACGTTGCAATGCGCCAGATTTATGGAATAAAACCCTTTCTGTTTTTTTAATTCTTTATGTTCTTTTTTATCTTTTTTTTTTCTTCTCAGAACAGCACTATGATTTGCTGAATACACCTTTGCAGCTTTGTGTTCTTTTCTGCTATGATATGCATCTGCACTGAGTGCGCTCTCTCTCTCTCTCTCATCTTATACCATAATTCATGAAAAAAAAGTGGGTTAACATTTGCTTTTAATCTCTTTATTGGTGGTTCACTTTTTGCTCAGTTTCCTTATTCTTTTGGGGGGTATATTAACAGGCACGGAAGCTATTGCTGGATCCAGCAATTCATGAAGAGTTCACTAGACTGAAGGTAAGTTCTGGACTTTAATTTTAATTTCAAGTTGAAATGTATATAGAGGAATTTGATACACTTATTTAGTGGTTCCATACTTTAACTTCGTTGTGCTTCCAAGTCTCTATGATGGTTGGCTGGTATTCGTTATTTACTGGGGGCAGTGTTCTGTTGGTGACATAGTTACTGGTTGCCTTTTGAATTGCTCTATGAGCTCTGATGATGCATCCTTTTGCCAATGAATAAAGCATGTTGGTGCTTAAATTTTTGGATGCTTTTGGCATGTAGTTTAGTTGACTTTCTCATTCTTCCTTCATGGGCTTGCTTGCCTGATTGCACTCTTGCTTACATCTTTTCTTATTTTGCAATGCCAGAATTTGGTTGAGGAGAAGGATAAGAAAGTGAAGGAGTTGCATGATAACATTGCTGCAGTCAATTTTACCCCACAAAGCAAAATGGGGAAGATGCTAATGGCTAAATGTAGGACACTGCAAGAGGAAATTGAAGAGATCGGAAACCAGGCTAATGAAGGAAAGGTATTAGATGATTATATGATCAGTGAAGTGTGTAAAATATATAATTCATNATGCATCCTTTTGCCAATGAATAAAGCATGTTGGTGCTTAAATTTTTGGATGCTTTTGGCATGTAGTTTAGTTGACTTTCTCATTCTTCCTTCATGGGCTTGCTTGCCTGATTGCACTCTTGCTTACATCTTTTCTTATTTTGCAATGCCAGAATTTGGTTGAGGAGAAGGATAAGAAAGTGAAGGAGTTGCATGATAACATTGCTGCAGTCAATTTTACCCCACAAAGCAAAATGGGGAAGATGCTAATGGCTAAATGTAGGACACTGCAAGAGGAAAATGAAGAGATTGGAAACCAGGCTAATGAAGGAAAGGTATTAAATGATTATCTTGATCAGTGAAGTGTGTAAAAAATAAAATTCATTTAGTTAATTAGTTCACAACTGAATTTAGAGATGGAAGAGACTAGTCTATTCATAGGTTACCTAGTTGCTTAGCTTGGTTTTTCCAGGTTTGTTTAATTATGATGATTGCTTTAAAGGTGATACATGTGAGATGTTACAGAGGTTCTGTTTCTTCACTTGCAGATGCATGAATTAACAATGAAACTGGCTTTGCAGAAGTCTCAGAATGCTGAACTCAAAAGTCAATTTGAAGGTTAATGTTCTCTCAAGTTGCTTCATAAATACATCTCTGTTTGCCTTTTGATTGGGATAGGAATTTTTCGTTTGCTGCTTGTTTTATTGTGATTGACTAAGTGGTAAGCAACCCCCACTTCCAACCAAGAGGTTGTGAGTTCGAGTCATCCCAAGAGCAAGGTGGGGAGTTCTTGGTGGGAAGTATGGCGGGGCTCTATTTGGAAGCAGCCTCTCTACCCATGGTAGGGGTAAGGTCTGCGTATACACTACCCTCCCCAGACCCAACTTGTGGGATTATACTGGGTTGTTGTTGTTGTTGTTGTAATTCGTTTGGTACAACAGGTTCCAGATATGATCAGTGTAATTGATAGTAATATTTGTGAGGATGTTTAGATTTTTATTAAACAGGATGTTTATATTTGCTTTAAATGTTGAAACATTTGGTAATATTTGCATATACTCCTCTGGTTCATAACATTACATGAGTAGAGGCATACTCACTCTTAGATTATGGTTCTTTGTGGAATTTAAATGCTTCAGTAAGTATTGGACAAGGAACTATACCACATGATTCTGTAACGACCCGACCTGTCGTTATAAGAATTAGCATCTCGTTCAACAGCTTAAGACCTCGAGGAGCTTCGTAATACGCATTACGACTCGCATGTATGGTCAAGTTTGATTTTTTCGTAAGATTCGGAGTTAAATTTAAAGAAAATCAAAATCTTATTTTTGAAGCTCAAATGGAAAGAGTTGACCGAAGAGTTTACTTTTGAGAAAATGACCCCAAATTGGAATTTTAATGATGTCAATAGCTTCGTATGGTGATTTCGGACTTAGACATGTGTCCAAATTTGGATTTGGAAGTCCATAGGATAATTCGGCGCATTTTGGCGAAATAAGATAGTTGACGTGTTCTAATTATATTATTTAGTATGTGGAAGAGGTCTATTACCATGATGGATGCCAAATGGATATGATAGCAAGTGTATGAGGCATACTATAAGATATATGGGGTCTAAGTAAAGTCCTAAGCCTAAGCCAAGTTGGAAAATTTCATTATATACTAAAATTGCAAATGAGTACGCACAAGACCTCACTTTGGACGAGCATATCTACATGGATATAACGAGTTGTGTGATGCACAACCTATCAAATTAAAGCCCTTTGAGTCTAGTTTCCAACACTTCAACCCTTTTGTCATTTGGATATTCCTACAAGAAGTTATGACCAAATTACCAAAGGTTGGCGGAGGAGCCTACGGATGCGACGCGTCCGAAAGAAATGGCTAGCAGTGAAGTGCTGCCATCGCGACCAGATCGCGTCCGAAGCCCAGAAATCTGGGCCAAATACCAAACCAGGGGAGATAGTATTTTTAGTGTTGAGGGTTTAGGTTTTGAGGTGAAGGGGTCATTTTGAGCTCAAATACTATTAGAAACAAAAATACATTTGAATCCATTCTTGACAAGAAGTGAGGTAGACACAAGATTCTTGCGAATTTCTGGAACATGGAGGACTTGATTTAGAGTCACTATTTTTCCCGACGTCATCTTCAACGCAATCTTGCCAACTCCTTCAATTTTGGCCGTAGATGAATTTCCCATGAAGATTGTCTCGTCGGGTCCTGCGGGGGCATAAGAAGAAAATAACTCCTTGTTAGCACAAACATGGCGGGTGGCTCCAGAATCTATCCACCATTCTTTTGGATTTCCTACCAAATTGCATTCAGACAACATGGCACATAAGTCTTCCATTTCATCTTCAACCATGTTAGCTTGATTCTTTTTCTTCTTATCATTCTTGGGCGCATGACAATCCACGGGCCCAGATCTTCCACAGTTGTGGCAATTACCCTTGAACATTGTCCTGCTTGGGTAATTCTTTGGTCCGGAAGCCTTCTTCCTCTTCTTATTTTGTGGCGCCTCCTCAACAACGTTTGCCCCCATTATTGTCGAGTTTCCACGTGACTTCTTTTCAGCATTTTTGTTGTCTTCTTCTATCCTCAGACGAACAATCAAGTCTTCTAGTGTCATCTCCTTCCGCTTGTGTTTAAGATAGTTCTTAAAATCCTTCCACAACGGAGGTAACTTTTCAATGAAAGCAGCGACTTGAAAGGCCTCATTTATGACCATACCTTCAATAATAAATTAATAATTAATAATAAGATAAATCTTATTAATAAAATTATTGATTCGGGTCATACCTTCAGCAAGGAGGTCATGCACAATGACTTGTAATTCTTGGACTTG